TCACCTTTCCATAGAGATCCTGAACCTGAAGAATCAACAGGGGACAAGATCTATATATTTTTTTTTCTAAGAGAAAATGTAAATAAAGGATTTCTAGATCAATGTCTAGACTCATTGCTAAACTAGAGCAGGAGTGATTTTGCCCAGCAGCCAGGAAGACTGGGAGGGGAGGTACTTGGGGTGTATGGTACCCCCAGCGGGCAGAGGGCAAGAAGCATCAGCCTGCTGGTCCCTCCTACATAATGCCTGTGTGTCCCTATGGGGTCTGCCGGCAGTCTTCATTTCATCCATAATCAATGGCAGGCTGGAGACCTGGGTGCTTGGGAACTATGGGGGGAGGGGCCCTAGGCCACTGGACATGATGGTTCTGATGGTGCTGTGGGGAGAGCTGGGGCTTGGTGCCAGGCACAGAGCAGGTCCTGACAGTGGAGGGAGTGTTTTTTTTTTTCAGAAAGCAGAAGTTTCCATAGTTCCAGACACTGGGGTCAGCACCTGTCCTAACATGAGGGAAGGAAGCAGGGTGCTGACTGGGCTCCTCTTCTTGCGTCGCAGCCAGCACATGTGGGACGGTGAGAGGGTGCTTGGAGTGAGGACAGAAAGCTCTGGGACCCAGGTCTGGTCTGACCATTCACTGGCCAAAGGCATGTCCCATCTCCTCTCCAGGATCCATGGTGGCAGGTGGGATATCAGTCTGTAAAGTGGCTGTTTTCACGAGTAGCATGCAGAAAAAGGCAGATGCCCCCCAGATCACTTGGGGCAGCTGGTGGTCAGTGCCTATTCTGAGGAGGAGGTCTGGGACCCCATGACTCCATGGCCTTTGTGGAAGTTTCGTGGCAATTGGTGCCAGGTTGTTGGAAGCTCACCTTGCCCTCAGCCCCACAGGGCCCAGCTGAGCAGCCCAGGCCGGTGGAGAGAACATGGGAGGTAACAGATCACAGTGCTCCTTGGGGGTCTCCTCCAAGTGAGTCACTGGGGCTGGAGTCAGAGAGCAGGGGGCCTGGTTTCAGATCACAGCTTGGCCAGTTTCTTGGGCAAGTGACACAAACCCGTGGGCTTTGGTTTCTGCATCTGCACAATAAAAATAATAGATCAGAGGGTTGGGGTGTGTGGATCTAAGGAGAGTCACATATCAGGCTATCTGGTGCACTGTCCCGCACGAGGAGGAAATCTGGGTGTTGTTACCCCTAGTCCTGCCTCCTGGCCTCCCCTCTCTCCTCACAGCCTCTGTTCCCTCTTGGGTGAAGTGGGGGTGGGGCTGGGCCAGGAAGGCTCCTCAGAGGCAACTGCAGTCCCTACATCAAAGGCAGGGCGGGCCAAGGAGTGAGACCAGCCCAGGTTATGGGGTGGGATCTCTCCACCAATCAGGAGGCTTCCCTCGGCCTAGCCCCTGTGAGCCAGCCCTTCCTGTCGCCAGTGCCCAGCAGCCATGGCTGGCACTTAACCTTCTGGGGATCAGAGGGCAGGCCCCCTCAGGAGGTCCCGCTGGGGGAGGGGTCTGCCCCCCCAGGGTCCCTGGGAGAGAGCTGACCTCCAAGGAGAAGAGTCTGCAGGGATCCTCGTCTTGGTGCCTGGCACTGGGCCAAGTGTTTATGCGCATTATCTCATTTGGGTCTCACCACACCCGGGAGATAAGGATTGTTTTTATCTCAGGTTTGCAGATAAGGAAACTGAGGCGCAGGGAGTTTAACTCAGTAGAGCTAGAATGAGAAGCAGGCTCTTGAGCTGGGGCAGAGCGGCGGAAGCCCTCCTCCATTTGGAGCTGGGGCGAGGTCTGTGGCATCCACATGTTGTGTGCTCCCCACCACCTGACAGCTTCCGAGGCTGGCATCCCGAATGCCCTGTGTGTCTGGAAGAAATCGGGTCCTGAGAATACGGTGAGGGTGCACAGAGCCAGAGACCCGCCTGCAGAACCATGGTCAAGGTCGCACACAGAGCAGAGGCCTGTGGACTAGAATTCAGGCTGCTTGTCCCTGCCCAGCACTCTGCAGGGGGTTGACCACTCACCGCCAGCAGGGAAGGAAGACCCTGGGGATGGGCAAGAAGCCTCTGGTGTGGGAATGTCTCCTCCCTCCTCTTCCCCAGGAGGCTCCTCAGGAGGCATGTTCTCTATGCGACAGGGTCGTGAAAGGATGTCCAATGTCTTACAGATGATGATGGAGGCAGGGGTGGAGGGTGTGCCCAGAAAGGAGTGGAAAGATCAGTCACCAGGCAGGGCTCAGGCATCAGCCCCTCTCCCTCTCCTGCCAGGCACTTAGCAGCAGGCAAGCACAGCAGGGGTGAGGCCACTGATGGAGGCGAGGGGCTACTGCTCCTGAGAGGTGGGCCTGAGTCTTCCCTTGCAGAGGCTGAGGACAGGGCTGAGAGATCAGCCCAAGCCCCCTGGGCTCTGTACCCCCATTCTAGCAGCACCTCAGGTGTCTCCCAGGCAACTCTAGCTGGTGGCCTCTCACCTCTGCCTCTTGAGGGGATCTGGGGGAGCTGGGAAAAGACGGCTGGTGGCTGCCGAATTGCAGACGCTCCAAATGCTGCTGGAGGAGGCCAGTGCTCTGTGGGGCTCCACTCCAGCCCTCACAGGAGGGAAGACCTGGCCTTGGAGCTGGAAGGGCATGGCCATCCGTGCCAGGACCAGGGAGTATCCCCCTCTGTCCCTATGAGGACTAACTCCAGATCTGTGCGAACCAAAGGAAGAGATGGGCAGTTGTTTAATTCTGCCTTTGGTGCAGCTGCTATGAGACCATGGAGCCAAGACCTTGGGTCTTCTAGGGAAGGAGGGAGCACTGGACAGGGAGTCAGGGGCCTGACATCTCTACCTAGCTGGGGGGCTGGGGAAAGTTGCTCCTCTCCCTGGGCTTGTTTCATCAGCTATAAAATGAAGGAGTGAAGACTATCCATTGAAACCAAATCTGGGAAGGATTTTCTTAAAGCCCCAGGCTCCTAAGTCCCAGCTGAATGCACTGAATCATGCTCTCAGGGTGGGCCCCTAGAACGAAGTGTCTCGGCATGCAGTCAGGTTAGGCACCCACCAGACCACACCATCTCTCTCCATTCAGCAATTACTATGTGCCAGGCCCAAGAACCCTGAGATATAGGGCCTGTTACTGTCCCCATTTCATAGCTGAGAAAACTGAGGCTTGGGCAGGTTTTCCCAGTTATACAGAGAGTTAGAGCTGAGTGGAACGCACATCCAGGTCAGGCCCCTGTAACCATCTCCTCACTGTGTGAGGTCTTCTCATCCTCCCACCTGTGGCTGGCAGGCCCCAGGGACAGGAGCCCCTGGGGTAAGAACCAGAACCCTAGAAGGCTAGGGGAAGAAGCTACTTCAGTGGGCACCTAAACTAGTTCCTCTTTTAGGAGACGGAGTAACTGAGGCACAGAGGAGTGACTTGCTTGATGATGTCAGCGGGCACATCATCGGGTTGGATGGCTGGCCTGCGTGCAGCTGAGAGCTCAAGCAGCTTGTGCTCTGGTCTTCCTCCCTCCGCTTCTGTCGCCCTGCACTGTGGCCTCCCCACCCGGCTCCGTTTCTGCCAAGCAGCCCAAGGGACCACCCGTGCCTCTGACCCAAATCCTTCCACTTTCCCCACGTTCACTGCCTTCCCAGCACCCAAGAAAGAGGCCAGACAGGATCCCCATAACCTATGAGCTCCTTTTCCGACTCTATTCATCACCTCTGTCAACTCTGGACATGCAGTTTCTTCTGCCGGGGTCACTCCCCACTCGCCCGCTTGGCAAACATCCCTCACTGCCCATCCCCTATATCCTGCGATTCTCCCCTACTTGGGTCAGTATATACAGAATGAGGTTGTTACCACTTTTGGCGCCCAAGCCCATGGTGGCCTTGACTAATGGATCTTGGGTGGCATTCTTTCAAGATTCTGGAGGTGCCTCTTATTTTTACTTAAAGCAGCATACATCAGAACAGCAGCAGTAACATGGATCAGGTAACTCAAGAAAGCGGTGTCAACCCTGTTTCCCACCACGCTGTCGCATTCTCTCTGGTCCCTAAGTACTGTATGTAAACTCACATTCTCAACTTGGGCCTTGACCGCTCACTTTCCTCTAATCTGCCCTGCTAGCTGGGGAATGTTGTCTCTCCAGGACCTCACATCAGGTATTATGGGCTGACCTGTGTTCCCCCAACATCCATGGTGAAAGTCTAAGCCCCAAGACCTCATAATGTGAATGTATTCAGAGATAGTGCCTGCGAAGAGGTAATTAAGGTAAAATAAAGTCGTATGCATAGGCCCTAACCCAGTATGACTGGTGGCCTTAACCAGAAGTGATTAAGCCAGGTGCAAAGACCGCAGGGTAATTATGTGAGGGCACAGAGAGAAGGTGGCCATGTGCAAGCCAAGGAGAGAGGCTTCAGAGGAAACCAACCCTGCTGACACTGACCTTGGGCTTTTAGCCTCCTGAACTGTGAGAAAATTATACTTCTGTTCTTCAAGCCACCTGATGTACGCTCTTCTCTTATGGCAACCCTAGAAATAAATACACTGGCCCTAGCTTATGCAAGCTAACCACTTCATTTCTTTTTTTTTTTAATTATTTTTTTAAAAATCACTTTTATATAACTGTGAAAGAGCCCTCCGGGTCAGTGGGAATGTACTCAAAAGAATGGACAACATAGTGGTGATGGGTTGGAGGCAAGTGAACAGGCCCAAACGTTAACCCCCTGTGTGACCCTGCCCAGCAGGCCAGGTGGAGCCCCTGGAGATAAAGACTCGTCAAAGTAGCAAGTGAGGGCACACACCAACCTCAGGAGGCCTAGTCCCAGGGTGAGGAAGAGCAGCATGACTGTTCCCTGTGGGATGGGAACATTCTTCCTTTTCCAGAGGCAATAAAAACCCAGGTTGATAGAAGAAAAACAGACCAAATAAAAATTTTTGTTTTTGTTTAAGAAGTACAAAATCTAAGCATACAGGCTTCTCTCCCCGCTCACCCACCCCCTCACCCACTCCCCCCCACAATCCCAGCCTGGCCAACTCTGTGGTCAAGCAGCCACCACCTTCCTGAGGCTCAGGCAGTGCCCTGCAGAACACTGGTCATTCTGGGGGTGTCCAGGACGTGGAGGACACTACCCCAGTCCTGATTCCAACCAGGGAGGCCACCCACTATGTTTCAAACACTGCCTCTGTGAGAGACATCACTTGGAAAAGAGATCGTTGGCTTAAAAAAAAAAAAAAGCTTGAAGATCACAGCAAGTAGCAAATGAGGAGGGCACTTCACACCAAAGGCCCGATTCCTGGCTGACAAGGCAACAGGCAAGGCCATTAGTAGAAGATGCCCAGGTGGGCCCCTTCCAAATCTTCTTGCCAAAGTTCAGGGCAGCCACTGAGCTGCAGGTCTGAGCTCTGGGAAGGGCTTTCATCACCGAGCTGGAAGGCAGGGCCTGGTCCCTGGTTCTCTGAGCTGGGGAGCACCTCTACACTGTGGCTCCAGCATCCCCATTGGGTCTGAGGCTGGAGTCTCTGGCATGCTGGGCGGGACAGGAGGGGTGGGGTTTCTGGCAACAGACAGGACTCTGGAGACACTGAGATACCCTGCAAGAGAGACAAAAGCAGCTGATTAGTAGGCCACTGCCTGATGCCCTGAGACCTTGACCCTGGATGCTCCCTGGAACGTGGCTGGCAGCTTCTGGACAGCCCTGGTGCCATGGATGCAGTGAAGCAAAGTGGTGAAGAACACTGGCTTTGGAGATACACTCCAGGGGTTCAAATCTCACCTCTGCTACTAATTAGGTTTAAGAACTCAATCTCTTTTATTCAGTGTTCTCATCTGTAAAATGGGGGTGATGATGACAATACCTATTCCACAGTTGTAGTGTTGGCTGAGTTAATACATGTACAGCGTCAAGAAGGTGTTGGGCAAACAGCAAGCAGTAAATTTTGGTTATTAATATACTCATGGGCCTCATGAACAAATGAAGCTTGAAGGAAAGCTCCAAACCAGTCTACCCTGGAAGTCCCCACCCCTGGGGCCGGCCGGGCTCCCTCTCCCCAAACCTTAATGAAGCACTTGGGAGCGAATCCCCAATGGCTCTTACTACTTTTCATTTTGCCTCTGGAGCAAGTCCAAGGATTCCCTCTTTAACTTGGCTGTCAAGTTTTCTAGGTCCAGGTGGTGGTGGCCTTAACGACCTGGGGCCCGCCACACCTCTTTCCCCAAGGAGGTAAAGGTCCTCTCCATACTCTCTTCAGCTTCTCTCTACCTCTCATTGGGTTGTTGGATTAGATAAACTGGGATAGAAAAAAGCCTGTGATTCCCTGCAGACTAGAGCCTACCCACCCCTGCCATTTCCAAAGAAACCTGGGGACCACCCCGAGGGAAGTAGCACCCTAACATGCGCGCGTACCTGGTATACTACAGCCAGCTCGGGGGCCGCGGGGGGCGGCGTCCAGGGCGTGGCCTGGTTCCTCGGTTCTGGGGACGTCTGAGTCCCGGAACAGGCCTGGGGCGGTGTCCAAAGGGCAGCGTCACGGGCTCTCCCTTGGGAGAGTTGCGGGGGCGACTGCATCGCAGGGCAGTAAGGGGGTGTAACCCAGGGATCCACGTCCGGCACCCGGCTCCCCAGGCGCTCGGGCGCCACTAGCGCTCCGGGACGGGCCGGCGGGGACCCCCAGGGCACCGCGGAGCCCAGGCCCCCCGGGGCGCGCGCCTGCACCTGCACCTGCACCGGCGTCTGCGTCTGCGCCTGCGCCTGCGCGGGGCCGCCGCCGCCGCCGCCGCCGCCGTCGGGGCAGAGCTGGCAGCACGGAGGCGCCGCCGCGTCGCCGCGCCGCCGCCGCCGGCGCTGCAGGCTCTCCTCGCTGAGGCCCAGCACGGCCGACAGGTGGCCGATGTAGCGGATGGCCAGGCGCAGCGTCTCGATCTTGGTGAGGCTCTGGCCGGCGGGCGCCACGGACGGCGGCAGAAAGCGGCGCAGCTCGTGCAGGGCGCGGGCGAGCGTGCGCATGCGCAGCTTCTCGCGCTCGCTGGCGCTTTGCCGCGGGCCGCCGGCCGCTGCGCTGCGGGCTCGTGCGGGCGCCGTCGGGGCGGCCTCTGCGGCGCGGCCGCTGCGGGCCGGGGGCGCGGGCTGCGACGGGCCGCGGGCGCCGTCGCAGGGGCACGAGCCCGACGAATCCGAGGAGGAGGCCGGGGACGTGGAGTCGGGGTGGCCGGCCCAGCCCCAGCCCCGGGGTGAGGCCCAATGGTCGTGGCCCAGAAGGCCGCGCAGAGGAGGGGACTGGGCCATGGCCGGGGCCGCCGAGGGCTCTGGGAGGCTGAGCCGGCCACCTCCAGGCCTGAGCTTTTATCTGGCCCGAAGGTGAGAGGTGGCCCCCTGCCAGGTTACAGAGAGGTGTCAAAACCCACAGAGCCCAGGGAAGGCCTGGGCAGGGGGGCCTTGGGAAAGCGGGCCCATTTGCGGAGGTGTGGATTCTGACTCCTCGGGGGCTCTAATGGAGGCCCCTGCAGCCCGGGAGGTGTGGGAGGGACAATTCGCATCTGGCTGGAGCTGCGAAGCTTCTCACCGAGTTCCCACCCGCCCGGGCTCGTGGCGTGGTGAGTGCCCAGGACCCCGACAGTGGTGGGCAGTGCCATGGTCTGGGGACGGCCGGGCTGGCCCTCGTGTGACATGTGGACCCGCGCAAAGAGAGGCTGCCTCTCTCACCCCCAGCGACTTCCCCTCACTGTCTGCAGGTGTGCTGGGTAAGAGGTCAAGACAAGCCCCGAGGGATTTGCCCACAATGATTCGGGGTGGGGTGAAAGTAGGGGGACCTACAGGTGGATCCTTCCTGGGTTGCAGCTGGAATCCACACTTGCTGGTTTGCTGAATGGTACAGAGAAAGTCATCTCACTACCCACAGATAGTTTCTGTCCCTGAAAAATAGAACAGGCAGGAGAAGAGGGATAGGGAGCAGTGGGTGATGAAGATGGGAGAAGGTGAGCCCCCAAGCAGGCCTGAATATGTTTGCTTTGTGACCTTGGGCAAGTCACTTAACTCCTCTGACACTCAAGGTTCCCTCAATCTCCTAGCAGTAATACAAAAACGCACCACCCAGGATGGCTGCTGGTACTGGGTGGAACCATTCAGTATGGGCCTGGCAGGTGAGCTAAATGTTTGCTGTTCCCATTTCATGAAGAAGGTTACTTACATTTCAGGATGCTGTAGGCATCACATTTCATTCATATTTATTTAGCAACTGGCAAAAGCCAGGCATAGCAGTGTGAGCTAGTTGTGGTTTCTACTCATGACATTTCAGGCTTGTGCTGAGAGACAAGTGAAAAGGCCATTATACACTTAGTAGCTCCGCCACCAACTAGCTGTGTGGCAGAGCTTGAGTCTGAGCTTGAGCTTCTGCTCTATAAAACAGGAATAATGATTATAGTATCTACTTGTAGGACTGTTGTTACAGTCTCGTATTATAAACTTGGAGGTAGGGATGCTTGGGTGGCTCAGCAGTTGGACATCTGCCTTTGGCTCAGGGCATGATCCTGGAGTCCCAGGATCGGGTCCTGCATCAGGTTCCCGGCATGGAGCCTGTTTCTTTTCCTTCTGCCTGTGTCTCAGCCTCTCTCTCTGTCTCTCATGAATAAATAAATAAAATCCTTAAAAATAAAATAAACTTGGAAGTAGTAAAGCTCTCCTCAGCAATGATTACAGTTTAAGGAGGCATCACTGTCCTTTGTGATCTTCAGAGAAAGCGCTGTACTCTGAAGCTGAGGCCCAAATGAGGGTCAGGGTGTAGAGCTCTGACCACAGAGCTAGAGAGGTCACCACTGGGCCCTGGGCCATGAGTAGGACTTGGTTAAGGAGAGAGGCGAGTAGGGAACATTCTGGCTGTGGGAACTGCTTAAACAAAGGGCTGGCAGTGGGACTTGGCAAGGTGCTTCCAGAACAGTGTGCAAAGGTGCTGCTGTAGAAAGCTGGAGGACAGCTTGGCTGGGGCCAGCCTAAGAAGTTGGATTGCCAGATGGACCTTGGAGCAGAAGTGTGATGTGAAAAAAAAGGGGGGGGGTGGCGGTCAGTAACTAAAGGTCAACATGATGATGTTTCCGGAATAGGTTGGCCTATATCAACTCGAAGTAATAAATAATGACCTTGGAGTATTTGTGGCTGCTCCTCAAATATTTCACTAATTCTCTTTGTAAGTAGTGGGAACATTCCAGGTAAAGCTGGGATCCCTGTAACCCCTCAGCTATCAGGTTGTCATGTGCCCCTCCAGACCTGGCCCACATGTTCACATGGATGTATGTAAATGAGGCAACATTGCAGCCTGTTGTCTGTAAGTTGCAGTTGTTGTTTTTTAAGATTTTAGTTATTTGAGAGAATGAGTAAGCGCATGAGTCAGGGGTAGGGGCAGAGGCAGAGGGAGAAGCAGCCTCCCCATTGAGCAAAGAGCCCGATGTGGGGCTCGATCCCAGGACCCCAGGATCGTGACCTGAGCCAAAGGCAGACACCTAACCGACTGAGCCTTGTGACTTGTAACTTGCTTTCTTTCATTCAACATTGTGCCTTAGAGCATCCCACATCAGGATATATTTAGCTGACTTGTAGAGGGTAATAGATGATTTCAGTGAACATTTAAACATTGTGTGAACATTAGAGCAGATCATTTTAACTGGAAAAAAAAATGGCAGGAGGCTCTGACAACCCTTCAATGACCAGGTGACATCACTTCTGCTCAGGACTTATTTTTTAAAATACCAGAGAAAATATGCCCAAATTACCACTCTGACGTGATGATGAAGTAATGATTGTCATTGAACAATGTTGGTCAGGGCAACACCTGTTTAGTTTATTCTAGCTGCCGTGAATGAGGAGAAGGAATTTCTAATTTGTCCATGGCACAGAGAGAAGATGACTCACTTAACAGTGCTCTTGACTCCAAATAGGCTTTCTCTGGAGAGAAGCTGGCAGTTTATGCACTATTCCGTGACTTAAAAGGATTTAAAACAAGTAAAAATAAAATAGAAAAAAACCCAACTTTTTCCTAAGGGTGGTGGGGACTTAGAAAGTGAGTCCTACTCTTTTTAGGTTGAACTGTACTGCCTAGGAATTGATTTATATGTAATTGGCATTATAGTACATGTTGGCAAATCAAACTTCAATTAAAAAAAATATATATATGTAATTGACAGTTGTAAATAAAATCCATCAGGTTTCTTGTGTGTTTATTTTTTTATTTTTTATTTTTATTTATTTATTTATTTTTTTTTTAGGGATCCCTGGGTGGCGCAGCGGTTTGGCGCCTGCCTTTGGCCCAGGGCGCGATCCTGGAGACCCGGGATCGAGTCCCACATCGGGCTCCCGTGCATGGAGCCTGCTTCTCCCTCTGCCTGTGTCTCTGCCTCTCTCTCTCTCTCACTGTGTGTGCCTATCATAAATAAATAAAAAAATTTTATTTATGATAGGCACACAGTTTTTTAATTTATTTATGATAGTCACACACACAGAGAGAGAGGCAGAGACACAGGCAGAGGGGGAAGCAGGCTCCATGCACCGGGAGCCCGACGTGGGACTCGATCCCGGGTCTCCAGGATCGCGCCCTGGGCCAAAGGCAGGCGCCAAACCGCTGCGCCACCCAGGGATCCCTTCTGTGTTTTTTTTTTTACTATTTTACTTATTTATTCATGAGTGACACAGAGAGAGGCAGAGACATAGGCAGAGGGAGAACTCCGCAGGTTCCATCCCATCCCGCAGGGATCCCGATGTGGGACCCAACCCCCGGATCATGCCCTGAGCCAAAGGCAGAAGCTCAATTGCTGAGCCACTCAAGCATCCCTCTTGTGTGTTTCTTAATCTAGATTCTGAAGTTTCAACCTGCTGTTGATACTAAGTTTTCTGACTCACCCCTTTTAAACTGTTCTATGATATTCTGTAGCATATGTGCACCAGTCAGGCCCTTACTGAGGCATCTTTAGTGTGTGTTTAGTTTTTGCCAAATAGCACTGCCTCATGCATAGGCAGGTAGATCTGCTTGCAATCTCCAGGAAGTTCTGAAAATCCAGAATTATCCCCACCCTTAGAGCCAGCCTGGGAGGATTTCATATGAAAGAGTTTGGTGAATAATGGGAATCCACTGTCAGCATAGAGCCCTGCTTACTCTCCTGTTTCTAGGGTAGCCTGGCCTCCTCTCTTGGGCTAGCACCAGAGCCCCGGCTACAGACTGGGCTGTAAGATGTCAGAGTGTAAGTTCTAGAAAGTGGGGCCCTGGCTCTTAGCCAGGCTCTGGAAGCACAGGGACAAACTGTCTTCCAGCCCCATTCACTGGGAGAGTATGCCAAGATGCCAAAGTAGGTCCCCTCATATTGGGCCTGCTTAGCACAGGGAAGCAGTGTCACTTGACAGGAGGCTGGGCTATGGAATCGGACTGACTTAGGTTTAGAGTCCCAGCTCTACCCCTTATAAGCTGTGAGAACTTGGGCAACTTACTGAGCATCTGTTTTCTAATCTGTAAAGTGGGTATTCTGACTGCCAGGGTGATTGTTGGGGTAAATAAAGATAATGCATGTCAGAGCGCTTAGCACAGAGCCTACACTTACAAGTTTTGCTTATAGCAAGTTCAAGGGCAGAAGAATGAAGTAGGTAAAGGATGAGGTTGGGTGTAGGTAAGGGGGGTGGTATCTCTTAGTCTTGGCCCTAGAAGAAGCCAATCCCTTCCATCCCTGAGACTCCAGCAGCAGGTCCAGCACATCCTGCTCTATCTCCCTCCTCCATCTGCAGCTCTTTGCCTCTATGGACCTAGCATGGGGGGTCATCTTCATCAGGGCACTCCAGCTTCTGGCCTGTGGCAGGGGTCACCCCAGCTACAGCGTTGAGGGAACAGGAGAGTTCAGATACCTGGAGCCAAAGCTGGAGCCCACCAGCCCAGCCAAGGCTAGGAAATAGAGGATCTGAGCCTGCTTTTCCTGGTGGGCTGGGTCCTGGCGCAGCTGCTTGTCCAGCTTGCCTCTGGGACCCTCAGGCATTCCTCCCTCTATGCAGAAACCTGCCCCAGGTGCTTGGCAAATAAGCTGGGTCTGGGTCCTGCCCCACGGAGGCTTCTAGTTGGGCCAGCTCTGCTTCTCTCTTCCCTATCGACTCTCCTGGTGGAAGGAGGGACATCTAAGGTGTATGCTCTTAGATAAGGTGATTGATGTCTGGGCCTCAGCGGGCTACTGGCACCAGACCGGGTGCACCCTGCTTCCTGTGATAGCAGAAGGTGGTGGTTAGGTCAGAGAAACATGGTCAGTAGAATGTTCACGAGTATG